TGAGTTTGCTCAGTTTCATGCTCATTGCTTCAGTGATGCTATTTAACCATCTCATCCTCTGCCGTCCTCTTCTCCTTTTGCCTTCAATGTAAAGGGGCTATTGCATTCCAAATAACAGGTTACTAATGAAGAATTTCCTCAAATGCATCATGACATGCTTTGAACATACCTTACTGATAAAGTCACTTACATCCACCCATATTTCCCATAAACATTGGTCAGATTGTTAAATGTATATATATATTTAATTTCTATAGTTAAATTTCAAATTGCATTATTTGAAGCCATGGACAAGGTGCATGGAGAAATACTCCTTGGGCTATCTATCTTGGCTATTTGTCTAGCTTTTACAGTAGTTGAACTGCTGCTGCTATGCTGCATAGTAGCTATTATTGTGGTAGTAGTTCTCTTTTATATTATTACATTTCTGACCATTTTAGTTTGTTTTATTACAGTGGTACCTCGGGGTACGAACTTAATCTGTTCCGTGACTCTGGGGATATCCCGAGTTGGTCGTAACCCGATGCAAATTTCCCCACAGGGTTCAATGTAAATCCGGTTAATCCGTTCTGCCCTCTACGGACCATGCGTCAGGGGCAGGAAAACGGCCGGGCGCCACGTGGCACGGAGGGAAAATGGCCGGGCCTGGCGCGGCGGGGAAAAGGGTGGGCGCCGCACCACGTGGAGGGAAAATGGCCACGGACCACGTGTCAGGGGCGGGAAAATGGCCGCGGACCACGTGTCAGGGTGGAAAAATGGCCGTACCCCGAGGCGGAGTTCACACATCGTGGTAAATTTTTGCGGCCGGAGCTGGTCGTAACCCGATGCAAATTTCATTAGTAGAGGCATTCATATCCTGAGGTACCACTGTATATCCCACTTTCAGATTAATGTTAATGAAAAGCAGAGAGGGTTAACGTTTATTTTAAAAATAAAATAAATAACTACATATGCTCTCATGTCCCAGTATTTAACTTCTTTGTGAGAGTCATTCACAAGTAGGCCTCTCTTTGATACATACCCATCCTTGCCCTGAGATTGACAATATTAGTGAAAGCAAACCTGAGCTATCTTTGTTATGCATAGATCCTTACTCAGCTTTGAAAGATAAGCTCAAATTTTCCCTTATCATGCAAGAGCAGGAGCAGGTTAGAAGTCCTACGAGAAAACCAACCTGCATCCTATGGCTGCTGCTTGACTGGCCGCATAATGCAGTGGCCATTTTGGAGATCTCTGTTGCTTTCTTCCTGGGACTCAAGATTTTCATGGACTGGGCTCTGCTTCAGAGCTGGAGCATGAGGGCAGACCACAGAGGATTCTATCATAGACTCTGGCAGCTTGATGGAGAAGATTTGGGTTGTTGCTTGTCAGTTGAGATTTTTTTGGGAGAGGAGGCTTGGGAAGGCTGATCTGGTCTGTTGCCATTGATTGATGGTGGTGGGTGGGTCTTGCCTTCTGTTTTCCCCCCTGCAACCCTGGTAAGAGTGGGGGAACATTGAGGTAGAGAGAGAGATGATGGAAGACAGGAGCAGGTCACTCTCAAGGGGGGTGACCTTGGTGTCTAACACCAATGTCAGGTTCTAGTCCACTGAGCTCAGGCCCAAACCCTGGTCTCCAGGGCCTCAGAGGTTCTGTACCCTGGGTGTTGCTACCTAATGCCAGGTTGGTTTGTAATAAAGCTTACCTCCTCCATGACTTGATTGTGGAAAAGAGGCCTGATTTTGTGTGTATTGCCAAAACCTGGTTGGGCATGGGGGGGGGGGGTGTTCCTTGCTCAGAAATGTGCCCTCCATGGCACCAGTGGTAGTAGTTGTTATTCAAGAATCTTTGGCAGCATTAAGGGGTATTTATCCAGACATAGCTGGATGTAAGACTCTCTTTGTGAAATTGGGCCGTAAGTTCAGTTGGGCTTGCTGCTTGCTTACATTACTCCCTGC